GAGGCCGCGCCGGGCGGGCGCTGTGGGGACCCCGGGAGCCGGTGCAGGGAATAAGGTTGGCTGAACGGTGGGAATTTCCCCCGGAAAACGAAGGCCGGAGAGACCGGAGTAAAACTGCTGGGCTGTACCCGGCCTTGTCAAGGCGCGTGACGTCACTAATGCGTCATCGCCGCCCTGGGAGACGGAGAGCAGCGAGGCCTCAGCGTGTCTCACTTATTTCCCGAGGAGGGGAGCACCCGGGCAGGAGGGTGCGGGGGGGGGGGAGCACCCCGCGACAGCTTGCGGAGGCCTCCCGCACTGGCTTTACCCTTCGGGGGCCACAGGGGGTGGTCAGGGCCGTCTTTTCACTTTTATTTCATCTCTTGGTGAGAATAATCTCACACAGAACTTCAGTGGGTGAAACCGTCTTCTGGGAAAAGTGGGGGCGCCGCAGTGGGGAGGCTGGGCGACCAGGGACCCAGGCCACTCGCTTTCTCGGGGACCCCCTGGGGGCCCCACAGACCTGGGAGTGGAGACCCCGTCTAACGAAGGACCGATGGCCGGATGCGGAGCGGGTGTGGGGTGTGCACGCGCGTCTGTCCTGAGCAGCTGTGGTTCTCAGGCTGGGGGGTGGGAGTTGAGACACTGCACGGCACACCCCGGTTTCTCCTGTGGCCCCCCTGGAGGACTTTGGGGTGCTCCATGGCGCTCTGGGGCCTGGGCCCCTTCAGGTCCCGGGCTGGAGCCGGGGGGCACCACAGGGAACCAGGCCGTCCCCAGGAGGGCCTGTCCTCTCTGCCCAACTCCCACTGGTGTGTGTCCCTGTAACCCCGACTGCTTTTTAAAATGTAATCGATCTGCAACGGAACAGAACAGAGAACCCAGAAATCGACCCGAACCAATATGCTCAATTACTATCTGACAAAGGAGGCAAGAACATACAACGGAGTCAAGACAGTCTCTTCAATAAATGGTGTTGGGAAAATTGGACCGATACATGCAAAAAATGAAACTAGACCACCAACTCACACCACACACAAAAATAAGCTCAAAATGGATAAAGGGCTTAAACATAAGATGGGAAACCATAAAAATACTAGAGGAATCCACAGGCAACAAAATCTCAGACATAGGCCAAAGCAATTTCTTCACCGATACAGCTCCTAGGGCAATGGAAACTAAAGAGAAAATAAACAAATGGGACTCCATCAAAATAAAAAGCTTCTGCACAGCCAAAGAAACCATCAACAAAACAAGAAAGCCCACTGCATGGGAGAACATATTCGACAATGTTATCACCGATAAGGGTTTAATCTCCAACATTTACAGGGAACTCATACAACTTAACAAAAGGAAGATAAACAACCCAATAAAAAAAATGGGCAAAGGACCTAAATAGACTCTTTTCGAAAGAAGACACAAGGAAGGCCAAGAGACATATGAAAACATGCTCAAAGTCACTAATTATACGAGAGATGCAAATCAAAACAACAATGCGGTACCATCTCACACCTGTCAGACTGGCTATCACCAACAAATCAACAAACGACAAGTGCTGGCGAGGATGCGGAGAAAAAGGAACCCTCGTGCACTGCTGGTGGGAATGCAGACTGGTGCAGCCACTGTGGAGAACAGTATGGAGTTTCCTCAAAAAACTAAAAATGGAACTCCCATTTGACCCAGTGATCCCACTTCTAGGAATATATCCCAAGAAACTGAAAGGATATATGCACCCATATGTTCATAGCAACACAATTCATCATAGCTAAGATTTGGAAACAGCCTAAGTGCCCATCAGCAGATGAATGGATTAGAAAACTGTGGTACATCTACACAATGGAATACTATGCAGCTGCAAAAAAGAAGGAACTCTTATCATTTGCAACAGCATGGATGGACCTGGAGAGCATTATGCTAAGGGAAATAAGCCAGTCGGAGAAAGATAAATGTCACAAGATCTCACTCATTTGTGGAATATGATGAACAACATAAACTGATGAACAAGAACAGATCCAGAGACAGAGAAGCATCGATCAGACCGTCAAACTTCAGAGGGAAGGTAGGGGAGGGTGGGGGTTAGGGGGAGAGATCAACCAAAGGACTTGCATGCATATAAGCCCAACCAATGGACACAGACACCAGGGGGGTGAAGGCATGAGTGGGGGGATGGGGGGTAATGTGGGGATAAGGACACATATATAATACCTTAATCAATAAAGAAAAGAAGAAAATAACAAAAAATGGGCGGAGCAGCAGAAGCCAAGTCACTGAGTTAAACCGTAAGGTCAAAGGAAATCTTAGAGCAAGTCCTGAAAGCTGGACTACACTGAACCCCCGATCCCGGGAACAGAAGGCATGGTTTAGGAAAACGGAAGCGTTTAGGAAAAATTGAAGAGCTGTGCACACCACTAGTGTGGCAATACAGGCAGGCAGGAAAGTAGCCACGGCCCATTTTCAGGTTTATGTGAGAAAGAAGTTGGTATTTAATGAGCACTTTACACGTCCAAGGTATTACACACGTATACATCAACAAGGTACATTGTCACAGCCCAGAAAATCTAATTTTCATTGAAGTTTATTTCTATCAATTTATCATTTGAAATCACTATGCTGAAACTTGTTTCCAGGGATAAAAACACACTTTTGAAAATAAACAATTATTTCAAAATAAAATGTAGTGGACCTCTTTGCGGATGGCCCGGTGGGGGGGTGGGTGCAGGGGTTGGACGCAGCCGTGGGTGGTTACGGTGCAGCCACGGGTGGGCGTGCAGCCAGGGAACAGGTCGCGAGCATTGTAACTGCCAGGTGCCTGTCAGGTGGGTGCGATGGTTTCAGACGGTCCCCTGACAAGATGTATAACTCTCATCGCTGGCTGCACCCTGAGACGCAGACAATAGTGTGCACCCACTGTTGTCAAGAAATTTAAAAAATGATTAAAAAATTAAAGAAAAATTTGGCCAATCTGTTTATTAGAAAACAAGACGGACTGTACCTGGCCGAGGACGCCTCCCAGCCGCCACTTCACTGTGTGCGACGCGGGGGGAGGAGGGACTAATGCAGACAGTGGGGGTGCGACTCGAAGCCCGGGCAGCCTGATGGACAGGAGCCCGCGGAGCAGCGGGAGGCGGGGGAGAGAGCGTGTTCAGCCTGCGCGGGGCGACCGGAGCCCCCAGCCTCCTTGCCGTCCTCGGCCTCCCCTCGCCCCCCTCGCCGCACCTTCAGAGGCCCCTGATTTGCCTAAAAGCCCCGAGTCTGCGGGTGGCCGCTGAGACCGGCGCCCCAGGACGCCTCGCGCTGAAGGTTTCCACGCTGGACACGCACCCCTTCGTGGAAGGCCTCGCGATGGGCAGAGCCTCTGCAGGTGTGGACTTTACAACCGTGGGCGGTGGCCCTCCCCCAGGCCAATCCACAGAGGGCCGAGCAGGTGGGAAGAGGCGGCTATGGAGTCACCCCAGCTCGGGCTGCAGGCGGCGCCCTGGGACGGGAAGGCCGCTGGTCGGGGTCGAGCTCTCTGTGGCCCCCGAGACCGAGGGGACGCGATGGAGTCACCTCCTTAGAGCTCTTTCACGAGGGAAACGAGGCCAAACCCCGGGTGCTGGCTGACCTCCAGGGCCGCCGTGAGCGTAAGAGAACAGCGAGGTGTGCGACCCTCACACGGACCGTGCACTGCGGACACATGCAGGCAGGCACCTGCCCGGCCGGCGTGGTCGGTGGTTCAGCGCTGACCTCTGAGCCGGGAGGTCAGGGGTCTCTTCCCCTCAGCGCACAGGCCGGGGTGCGGGCTCCGTCCCCAGTGGGGGCGTCTAGGAGGCAGCTGATCCGTGATTCCCTCTCATCACGGATGTTCCTCTCCCTCCCCCTCTCTCCCTCCTCCTCCCCCTCCCCCTCTCCCTTCCTGTCTGAAACCAGTAAAAACATCTTTTGAAAAGTGCGGGCCCTGTAGAGGCTCTAGTCGCCGCCCAGAGCGCTGGGGCTCCGCACAGACCCGCAGTGTGATGAGGTTTTGGAGGACGCGCGTCCTCGTCCAACTGTACAAACTCGATTCCAGACCAAACCTCTGTCCTCCCACGGAGCTGCCTCCTCGGCAGCAGGTCTGAGGGCCCCACCCGAGGAACTCCGCCAACAGCGGAGCGCAGGTCCCCTGGAGGCTGAGCGTCAGGCCGAGGGCACGCCAGAGAGGAGAAGAGAAGGGGCTCTGCTCTAGGTGCCACACGGAGGCCAGAGCTGAGCGGCTGCTCCTCACACAGAGCACGTGCGAGGCCGCACAGGCTGCCCTCGGCCCTCAGCCCTCGGCCCTCAGCCCGGGCAGGGGACCCATGGCCACGGGGTCTCCTCTTCAGGGGCATCGTCCCCGGTGCACCCAGGTGAGGGCCGAGGGGCAGGGGCCATGCAGGAGCCTCCTTCTGCTGTGGAATGTGTAACCTCCTGTGGCTTTGACGTTCTCACCCCCATCCACACGTGTGCGCGCACACACACACACACACACACATACACACATAGATACACACAGACACGCACACACACAGAGATACACAGACGCACACACAGAGACACACAGACACGCACACAGATATACACACAGATACACACAGACACGCACACACAGATACACACACAGACACACACAGATACACACCCACACAGATACACACAAACACGCACACAGATACACACAGAGACACAGACAGGCGCACACACACAGAGACACACAGAGACACACAGATACACACAAACACGCACACAGATACACACACAGAGACACACAGACACGCACACAGATACACATGCAGACACACACACACAGGGCAGTGCGGGGGGCACCTTCCAGGGAAGGGCTCACAGTGCCCTCCTGCAGCGTCACCCCTGGCAGAGCCAGACCCCCAGAGCCAGGCCACACGAGACTCAGAGCCCAGCTCTGTCTTCACGACATCGTTTCGGTTCTTGTTGATACAGATCTTTTTACAAAACAAAGCATGTGCTTCAGGGAAATCAGTTCAAATGACGCCAAGAGGGGCGGAGAGGAGCCGTCCGTCTCTTCCACAACAGCCTTCCTCTGCCCCAGGTTCCAGGGGGCAGCCCGGAGGTAGCACAGATGCTCCCGATGCCCTGCGCCTGTGTGTGTGTGTGTGTGTGTACATGTGAGCGTACAATGTGAGTGTGTGTATGTAATTGTGTGAGACTGTGTGTACATGTGTGGGGTGTGTTTGTGTGACTATGTGTGATTCTGTGAGCGTGTATGTGAGCGTGTGTATGTGTGTGTGAATGTGTGTGAGAGTGTATGTATGTGTGAGTGAGTGTGTGTGAGTGTGAGCATGTGTGTGAATGTGTGTGTGAGTGTGACTGTGTGTGATTCTGTGAGCGTGTGTGTGTGAGTGTGTGTGAATGTGAGAGTGTGAGCATGTGTGTGTGTGAATGTGTGTATACATGTGAGTGTGTGTGTGAATGCGAGTGTGTGTGTGAGTGTGAATGCGAGTGTGTGTGAGTGTGAATGTGAGTGTGTGTGTGAATGTGAGTGTGCGTGTGTGTGGTCTCCTTCATGTGAAGGAATGAGGGCACAGGTTGCACTCTCACGTCCGCATGGCCCTGACGCCTCCCCACGGAGTGAATCCCGACCCCCTCACTGCCCAGAGCTGCATGAAGAGGACTCGGACGTCCATGGATCTCAAACGTTAGCACCAGTGCCAGCGCCGCCTGTCACCCTCTCTGTGCACCTGGAGGGCGTGTCTGGGGAAACCCCTGAGTTGGAGAGGAGGCCACACTCGCCGACCCATTCTCACGCCCCCAGCGGCACTCCCAGGGCCTAGCGCCAGCGATGAAAAGCTGGCTCTCGGCTTGGTCGCTGCAGCCCTGAGAGCGAGTCCACACCTGCCCCCCCAGGCGCAGCCGCACGGAGGAGGGGCCGTCTGTGCCCGCAGCGGGTCCGTCTCCGGTGGGCACAGCTCAGAGCAGCCACGGGCAGGGCCTACCCCAGGTCCTGGTCTCCATCACGGGGACGGATCAGACCAAGAGGCAGATGCAGTGACACCTGGGGAACCAGTGGGCAGTCGGCGGCCTGGGTGGACGTGAGCCGAGGCTGTAAATATAACAGGCGGAACCCCCGGGGGCCCATTTGCTGCCCCCACACGCACAGCACCGACAGGCGCTCCTCACCCACACACCTGGGAGCGGGGCTGCGGTGCCACCGCTGGGACGGCCTGTGACCCACCCTCGGCCTCCTCCTACTGCTCACTGCTCCACTTCCTGTCCCTGTGATGAGAAGGGCCGCGTCCAACACGGTTTGGAACACACATAAGGGGCCCAGCTGGTGTGGCTCAGTGGGTAGAGCATCGGCCCATGGACTAAAGGGTTTGGGGTTAGATTCCCGTCAAGGGCACGTACGTTGGTTGCAGGCTCCATCCCCAACCCTGGTCGGGGCTGCAGAAGGCAGCCAATTAGTGTGTCTCTCTCACGTTGATGTTTCTCTCCCTCTCCCTCTCCCTCTCCCTCTCTCTGTCCTTCCACTTTCTCTAAGAATCAATGGGAAAATATCCTCAGGTGAATTAACAAAAGAAAAAAAAACAAACATATGGGGAAGGCAAGCAATGCTGCTTCCAGGCTTAGCAGAGATTCTAAATTGTGCCCCCAAACTTTTCCAAGCTACTTTCTCCTCCCCTTCTCTCTCTCTCTCTCTCTCTCTCTCTCTCTCTCCCTCTCCCTCTGTCTCATCACAGCCTCTGCTCTCTTCTCTCTTTCCGTCCCTTTTTCTCACTTTTAAACCAGGGCCTTGGCAGGTGTTCGGGTCCAGAGAAGATCAACCAGTCCCCCCCCCCCCCCAAGGGACCCACGTGCCGTCAGTCCTTCCCAGCTGCTCTCGGGCTTCAGGGCAGAGCTAATCGTAACTTGGAGATTCTCAGCTCAGCTTCTCCGGCTGGGACGGCCTCGAAGGGTTGACATTAAACACTGACACCAACTCCATCACGGTGTTCCCTTCTGCCCAGCAGCCCCGCATGCCCCCCCCTCCACCCGCCCGCCCCGGGAACATAACCGGAACCCCCACAGGGTCTCCGAGGGTCTCACCTGAAACTTGGGACAGGTCTTGGCCCTCGTCACCGTCCATGGTCCTCGGGTTACCTGAGAAGAGAGAAGGGGTTAGTGTCACGCAGGGCCGGTGAGATGTGAGCGCGCGCTAAAGAGCCGGCCGTGGGCGAGGCGATCCGCACGAATAAGGCGCCTTCCTCCCGCACACGCGCCGGGCGCCTCGGACGGGCACAGACCGGGACCCTGAAAAGGCGGCATTACAAAGATTTATAAAAATATCATTACCGGCGCAGGAGGACCAAATTTGTTATTTATTGTTAATTTCCTGCTGCATAATAACCCAAAATGCAAACTGACTACAACAAAATTAAGCAGAAAATTAAATGGCCCCGGGTCATTGTAGGGCCCGCATTCATTCTCCCGGCTGATCCACAGCTATGTTCTTTCTAATTTACTGAGCACGCATCGATGAACCTTGAGTCAGCCCGGTGACACGCGCACAATCAGCAATCAGAAAAACGAAGCAATTTGCTGAAGAATGTCTCATTTACCCAGGCGGGCTGCGTGGCGGAGCCGCGCACGCCCCGTCCATCAATAATGAATGCACCTCCCGCCTGGCAGATGGGCCACGCGGGCGCTTCATCTCTGTCCCGCGCTG